TCCACGGTCTTGCGACGGAGCGTAACCCAACCACAACACAATCCGCGACGTCAATCGACGTCCTTTACTAAGGCCTCCAAAGAAAGCCGTACGGTCCGAACCGAATGAGTAGATAAGAGGTGAAATAAAATAAAAAAAAATAACAAAACAAAAACAAACTACAATGACGGCATTTCCACAACGGACCAGGATAAATAATCAGCCAACTTCAAGGAGATAACAAGGCAGGGCGTGTTGGAAGGACGCCAACCAAGATGACTTCAGCCCCCCCAAAAACAAGCTTCACTGTGTTGTAACGGTCCGTCTTATATGCTATATCTCCCCAGCTGCAACCCACGAAGGGGATCGGGTCCGCTTTCTCTCTCTCAAGCCATCTTGCTCCCTTCTCCGTTCCCCTGTTTTTCCTAGAACGGAGAAGGGATGGGCCTGGTTCTTTTTCTGACGGCCCAGCTGGCCTCCGCCCTTCCCCAGCCTCCTCCACAACCTCCAGAGCCACCCCTCCACTCCCTGTCGGCGACTAGAATCTGGAAGGAAGGGACCCTAGGGGTCTTCTAGTCCACCCCCCCCCTTTCTCAAGCAGGAGACCCTTAACGCCAGTGGTGGCTAATCTGTTTGGGCTCCTGTTGTCAAAAAATGGTGCGTGGGCTTCAATGTGCGCACGCTGGCGTGTCAGCACCCAGAAGGCAATGCGCGCCCCCTATGCATGCGCGCAAGGTCTTCTTCCTCCTCCTCTTCCTCCTCTTCCTCCTTTTCCTCCTCTTCCTCTTCTTCCTTTTCCTCCTCTTCCTCTTCCTTCCTCCTCTTCCTTTTCCTCCTCTTCCTCTTCTTCTTCCTCCTTTTCCTCCTCTTCCTCCTCTTCCTCCTCCTTCCTCATCTTCTTCCTCCTCTTCCTCTTCTTCCTTCTTCCTCCTCTTCCTCCTCCTCCCTCCTCTTCTTCCTCTTCTTCCTGCTTTTCCTCTTCTTCCTTTTACTCCTCCTCTTCCTCCTTCCTCCTCTTCTTCCTCCTCTTCCTCCTCTTCCTCCTCTTCCTCCTGTTTTTCCTCCTTCCTCTTTTTCCTCCTTTTCCTCCTCTTCTCCTTTTCCTCCTCTTCCTTTTCTTCCTCCTTTTCCTCCTTCCTCGTCTTCCTCCTCTTCTTCCCCTTCTTCCTCTTTTTCCTCCTTTTCTTCTTTCTCTTCCTCCTCCTCTTCCTCCTTTTCCTCCTCTTCCTCCTCTTCCTCGTCTACTTTCTCCTTTTCCTCCTCTTCCTCCTCCTCTTCCTCCTCTTCCTCCTTTTCTTCCTCCATCTCCTTCCTCCTTTTCTTCTTCTTTTTCCTCTTCCTCCTCCTTTTCTTCCTCTTCCTCCTTTTCCTCCTCCTCCTCCCTCCTCTTCTTCCTTTTCCTCCTCTTCTTCCCCCTCTTCTTCCTCCTCTTCCTCCTGTTCCTCCTCCTTCCTCCTCTTCTTCCTTTTCCTTCTCTTCTTCCCCTTCTTCTTCCTCCTTTTCCTCCTCTTCCTCCTCCTCCTCCAGTCTCACGCTGGCCTTCTCCTCCCCCGCCAGGCTCCGCGCACTCTCCAGCGGGGGCAGCGTGGCTTCCCCGCCGTCCTCCCCTGCCATGCCAAAGTACAAACTAGCCGAGTACCGATACGGGCGGGAAGAGATGCTAGCACTTTACGTCAAGGACAATAAGGTGAGCCCCGGAGGCCCCCGAGAAGCGGCCGTACATAGGAGCGTGGCGCAGGGGGACGGCGGTTGGGGAGAAGCTCTCTATGGGTACCCCTGGAGGAAGCGGTGCGCCAGCGGGCAGCACCGTCGCTCCTCCCGTCCTCTCGGTCTGGCGGGGTTACCCAACTGGGCCCACCTTGGAGGACGCGTGGACTTCCAGCTCCCAGCATTCCCTCGTGGCTGGCTGAGGGGATTCTGGGAGTCGACTGAGCCGTGAAGGTGTCCCGAGTTTGGAGAGCTCTCGGTCCACGCCACGGGCCCCCAATGTTCTTGTTTCCCCTCCCACCATTCCCGACAGCTCCCTGACGAAATCCAAGACCGGGAATTTTCGGCCATCTTGGAGGAGGAACCTCTGCAACCCCTGGCGTTGGTCCCGTTGACCGAAGAAGAACAGGTGAGTTTGCGGGAGGGGGCGCCTGCCGACCTCCGGGAAAGGGGTCGGAGGGAACGACGGGCGGGAGGACGACGGCCCGGACCCTTCCTTCCCTTCCCCTCACCTCTTTTCTCTCTCCTCTGGCCTCCGTCCCTCCCCCACCCCAGCGGAACTTCTCCATGTCCGTCAACAGCGTGGCGGTGTTGAGGCTGATGGGCAAGGGGGCCGGGGTGGCCCCTGCCGGGGTCTCGCGGGGGAGAGGCAGCACGCGGAGCCGAGGTAAGGAGACTTTGCGGGCGGGGGCCCCCCTCACCCCCTTTTCAGGAGGGCGGCCTCTGACGTGTCTCCTGTCTGACCGCTTCTCTCCCCCAAAAACCAGCAGGCCGCGGGCGAGGCGAGAGCGGCTTTTACCAAAGAAGCATCGAGGAGGCGGAAGGCGGGGCCTTCGGCCGAGGTGGAGTCCGCGAAATCCACCGCAGCCAGAGTTGGGATGACCGGTGCGTAGTATGGTGGTGGGGTGGGGGGACGTAATTTGCACGGGGACGTAGTAGGGCCAGCCGTGCTCTTTAACACCCTCCTTTCCTTGCAGAGGGGACCGGCGGTTTGAGAAGCCCATCCGGCGGGAAGGAGGTAAGTGTGAGGCAGAGGGGATCCTCCGCGCGGGCGCTTCCCCTCCCCCCCACCTCGCCCCCCCGACGGAAGGAGGTGACGGCTGCTCTCTTTCCTAGCCCGGCCCCCCTTTGAGGAGGGGGCTCCCTCCAGTCGCAAAGACTTTGCTCGCTCGGACAGCGACAACTGGCGCACGCTGCGCGAGGAGCACGAGGAGGAGGAAGAGGGCGGCAGCGGCGGGAGCAATGCCGGGGGCGGGTCAGGAGGAAGCTGGCGTCAGAGCGGGGCGTCCCGGCGTGAGAGCGAGCGCTGGCGGTCGGCCAGCCCGGGTGAGACACTAGCAAACATACGTTAGTCCCCCAACCCTTTGTGAAGTGAATTTTAGCCCGTAACGAGTTTGTAAATAGTCCCATGGAAGTTCGGCCAAAATCCTTCGGGAGCAGCCTGATCAGCACTCACCTTTATCCTCCTTGAATGCTGCCAACAACTAATTGTCCAATTAGTTACGTGAACCAATCAAACCTGTTAGTGTTTGGGGATAAACCCCCGAGCTGAGTGCACAGCAGCAGTCAAGCCAGGCAGCCAAATGAGAGTGAGGCTGGGCCCAGGAGTATACACACACTTGAGACAAAAACACTGTGGTTTTTAAATAGGTATTTAATACACACAGAGATTAAGAATAGTCATTCAGTCCATATGTCAGTATCCAGTATATCTATCCAGTTACCTAGTCTTTTAAACAGTAAATACAATGTCTTTATCTGCTTGTAAATCTTCTTCTCTGATACCTTTCTCTCAAAGACAATGCTGAATCCACAGCTCACCAAGCAAACAGTCCTTGTGTTCAGTAGAGAGAAGTATCTTGCACAGTAGACATCTCATACAGGAGGAAACAGTAGCAGACAGACTAGAGTCCAGTAACACCAGGAACCAGGAACTCGAAACCAGGATCAGAAACCAGGAAGTGTTACGTCTCTCTCACTGCCTCTTATTGCAGCATACAACCGCACCCATAATTATGCAATGACATTGCATGTTTGAGCTTAAAGCTGCAAACACTTAAACCTAGGTTTTATATATTCATTCACCCAAACCAGTTGGTGTATCCATATACCCAACAAAACCAATCAGAATCGTTATGATATGTACAGAGTAACCCTTGAGTAACAAGGATATGCACATGGAAACATTTATGAGAGTAGTTATATAATAATTATATAATATAATAATTATATAATATAATTATTCAGCCACACACAGATACACTAAGTTGAGTTAAAATTTACTTTAAGAAATAGCGCCGTCCAAGAAACGGTCCAAAGAATATCCAACTACAAAGTCTTCTTACCGGTTGCCTTAGTCGTTTCCAGTAAACCAAGATATCAAAATATAAGCGCAGCATAAATGCAACCGAGAACCTTAGATAGCAACAGAATGTCAGAGAGACAGAATGTTAGGTTGTAGGTGTTCGGAATCGGTCCACCAATGAGTTGGCTTGCCTATATATAAACCAACAATGTATGTTTGTAGCTTGAAAACAAAATCACTGGATTGATTTATACTATAGTATACTATATTATATTATACTGAGCGTCAACAATCACATTCTCCAACTAGGGATTCACGTTCTCCATCCAAACCACATTCATAGCTGAGAGTCAACAATCACATTCTCCAACTAGGGATTCATATTCTCCAACAGAAACATGTTCATAGCTGCGAGTCAACAATCACATTCTCTAACTAGGGATTCATGTTCTCCATCCGAAACACCTTCATAGCTGAGTGTCAACAATCACATTCTCCAACGAGGGATTCATATTCCCCAACCAAAACACGTTCACAGCTGAGAGTCAACAATCACATTCTCAAACTAGGGATTTTCCTGGTAGAAATTCCGGTAGCTTACTTAGAATTTTTGCAAGATAAGAATGGAATGCGCTTTCGGTTTTTAAGCTGCCGCATTGCTCTTTCCAATCTCAACCTCCTTAACCTTCCCCTTCAGACGGAGGGCCTCGTTCGGCTGGCTGGCGGGAGCATGGCGGGGACAGCCGCCGGCGGAAGTTCGACTTCGACTTCCGGGAACGCGAGGAGGAGCCGCGGGGAGGACGCCGCCATCGCCAGAGCAGCGACAGCTTCGAGGAGGAGAAGGACGGGCTGCCCGAGTGGTGCCTGGAGGATGAGGAAGAGGAGATGGGCACTTTTGACTCCTCGGGAGCCTTCATGTCCCTCAAGGTAGGGGCCAGGGTGGCATCTACAGACCCTTCCTGTTCTGACCCAAACCTTGTTCCAAGGACACAAAACGCCAAACCGAGATAGAAGCAAAATCTTTTTAAGGCTTGAAAGGCAAGAACTTGCTTCCTGCAAAGAACTCCGGTCTCTCAGGCTGGCTTCTATCCCTTTTATCCCTTTTAGTCTAGAATGTCCACGAGGCTGAGTTTCAAAACGTCTTTGCTTCCTGCGAAGAACGTCTGCTTCCCAGCTGGCTTTTATCTCCTCCAAGGTTGCATTCCCTTGCAACCTTCCTCCCGAGTCGCCCGTGCTGCTGGCAGCTGCTGAGGGTGCCAACCGGGCAGCATCCGGAGTTTGGCCGGTGCCGAGGAAAAGTCAACATCGATCAGAGTAGAGCTGGGTGGGACCTTAGAGGTCTTCTAGTCCAGCTCCTTCCCCCCCAAAGCAGGAGGCCGACCCTACGCCATTTTAGAGAAAGGACTGTCCACAGTCTCTTCTTAAAATCCTCCACTGATGAAGCACCCAAAATTTCTAGTGGCAATTG